AGTGTGATGCCGTCACCCCGCCAGGCGGCTGACTTAAGCAGGCTTCCTACCCAACTCGGGGCTTGAACTCATGATCCTGAGATCCAGACCTGAGCTGAGATCAGGAGTCTGAGTCACCCAGGTGCCCATGATTTTGTCAGATTCTTTGGAAAACCTTTTCGGATTTTCACGGGAATCGCGCTCATCCGCAGGTCAGCGTGGGGAGTGTGATGCCGTCACCCCGCCAGGCGGCTGACAGGCCTGATTCGTGTATTTGAACTCACGTGTGTGACGTTCTGCCAACAGATCTAGCTCACATTTCTGCTTTTATTCCTAAAAACCATAGGTTTGGCTGGTATCGTAAAGGGTTAATTTTCAGAAAGCGAGCACCCAGCCCACCCAGGAAGCAGGGCGCGTCCAGGCAGATGACTGTCCACCGATCGCTGCCCGCCTCCTACGTCCCTGAACCACCTGACTTCACAACCGCCACGGGTCTGGGTTAGTTTTCATGCTGTAGCTTTCCTGTTTGCTTAATTAAAAAACAAACAAACAGAAACAGAACAGCTTGATAGAAGTAGCGTTCATATGACACAAAATTGACCCATTCAAGTGGGTGGTTTAATGATTTTTAGTAAATTTGCAGAGTTGTGCAGATAATGCCACAAGTTAGGCTTAGGGTCTTTCCGCGACCCCAGAGAGCCCCATCCTGCTTATTCTCTGTGAACACCGTTTCCGCCCCTTCCTCAGACAACCGCTCATTCTGTCTCCTGAGCTTCGCCTTTTCTAAAAGGTGTTTCCTATATGTGGACTGTGTTTAGCTTTTGGTGTCTGGTTCTTTCCCTTAGCATATGGCTTTTGAAGTTCACCCAAGCCGTAGGGCTTGGCTTCCTGGGTGCTCTCCTTTCTGCCGCGGGCCAGTGTGCACCGGACACATCCCGTGCGCGCTTGCACTGCCTGCACTTCTTGGCTATTATGCGTAAATCGTGCAAGGAACATTTGCCCCAAATTTCTTCGTACATACGTCTTCCTTTATCGCGAATAAATACCAAAGAGTAGAATTGCTGAGTCACATGAACATTTTGTGCGATTTCTTAAAGAAACGGCCAAGCTGCTTTCCAATGTGATTGTGCCATTTTGCACTCCAGCAGCAGTGTGTGGGGATGATGGCTTCTCCACATGCTCTCCGACACTTGTTACTGACGGTCTCTTACGTGACAGCCGTGGGTGTCATATTGGTTTAACATTGGTTTGACGTGGGTGGTTTCGGTCTGTGTTTTCCTAGTAACTGACTGTCTTGAGCAAGCCCATGTGCTGCTCAGACATTCACGTTCTTTGGTGGCTTCGCTGATTGTTGACTGGTAAGAGGTCGCTGTATATCCCGGCCGGCCGTGTTTGACCAGATGTATGTTGCATATGTTTTCTTCCAGTCTATAGGTTGTTCTTAATTTTCATAATTAAAAATGTGTTTTGAAGTGCAAAAGTGTTTAATTTTAATGAAGTCAAATGTACCCATTTTTTTTCTTTCATGGATCACGACTTGGATGTTTCTAAGAACTCCTTGGTTACTCCCAGACCATAAAGACTTTTCCCTGTGCTTTATTCTAAATGGTTTTAAGGTTTTAACTCTTACATGTAGGTCTATGAACCATTTGGAACCAATTTTTATGCATGGTGTGACATGAAGGTCGAAATCAATCTTACTCTGTGTCGGTGAAAGGTCTGTCCTGTCTCCATTAAATTGCCTTGATGCCGGCTGCAGTGAGGGCCCACCAGAGCAGAGCGCCATGGGAGGCCCCCACACGGGAGGGCAAGCCGTGGGGAAGGGCCGGCCGGGGCTCAGGCCTGAGCCGGTGGAGGTGGAGTCCCAGTTGCGCTCATAAGTCTTTTCCACATTTTGGATCAGGCCCACCCAGGTCAGCCCAGATCGTGTCCTTTCTGTATAGTCAGTTGATTATGAGCTTGAATCTCCTCTACAGAATGCCTTCCCAGCAACGCCCAGATTAGGTTTCCACTGCGGGAATAACCGGGCCGCCGCGGACGACTGCACCGGACCGCCTTCGTCAGCAGTTCAGCCGGCATGAAGACGAGGGTTTGTTTCTGGACTCTCGGTTACGTTCTCTTTCCCTGTGTCCGTGCCTCTGCTGGGATCACGTTCTTTTGATTTCTGTAGCTTTATAGTTAGTTTTGAAATTGGAACGTGTGAGTCATTCAACTTGGTTCTCAGTTTTCAGTACCATTCTGGCTGTTCTGGACCCTTTGCCTTTCTGTATACATTTTAAGATCAGATTGGCGATTTCTACAAAGAGAACAACAACCCTAACAAAAACCCGATTTCTGTGCATAAATAAAGATTGCGTTGACTCTAGGGGCGTCTGGGTGGCTCAGTGGGTTGAGCCTCTGCCTTCGGCTCAGGTCATGATCTCAGGGTCCTGGGATCGAGCCTCACATCGGGCTCTCTGCTCGGCAGGGAGCCTGCTTCCCCCTCTCTCTCTGCCTGCCTCTCTGCCTGCTTGTGATCTCTGTCAAATAAATAAATAAAATCTTAAAAAAAAAAAAAAAGATTGTGTTGACTCTAGAGACCAGTTGGGGGAGAACTGCCATCTTAGCCATATTGAGCTTTCCAGTCCCCGGACCTGGAGCTGCTCAGGCTCCCAAGTCTTCAGTTTCCTTGGAGACAAGGTGTGTAGCTCAGTGTGCACGCCTTGCACTCTCTGTCTTCAGCGTATTCTGGAGTACTTCGTTCTCGTGACGCCATTGCACATGCAGTAGTGTCCGGTCACGCCCATGCTCTCCACTGACTGTCTATGAAATCAACACAGAGGGGCGCCTGGGGGGCTCAGTGGGTTGAGCCTCTGCCTTCGGCTGGGGTCATGATCTCAGGGTCCTCGGATCCAGCCCCACGTCGGGCTCTGCTCAGCAGGGAGCCTGCTTCACCCTCTCTCTCCGCCTGCCTCTCTGCCTACTTGTGATCTCTCTCTCTCTGTCAAATAAATAAATCTGAAAACAAAACAGAATCTTGTATATTGGTCTTGAATCGTG